TCTTAAAAGGAATCAGTGGAATTTCACTGGTTCACCAGTGGACGTTCACTGATTCCAACCAGTGATGCAATTTCACTGGTGAATCAGTGAAATCCACTGATTGAATCAGTGAACAAAAGATCTGCGCGCATGCGCGCTAGTATCTCCACTGGTTGAATCAGTGAACTTCCACTGGTGAACCAGTGAAATTCCACTGATTTCTTTTAAGAGAGTATAATTTACAACAAAGCTAAAAAATTCGAGGCGTTATCCGATTTTAGAATTATTAATTCCATCGATAATAAACTCGGCAAATATTTAACCAGAGATGTTTGTTCAAATTTTTTAAATAAAAAATTCAAGTGACACATTTTTGTCGAACATTAGAAGGAAAAAAGTATACAAAGAGAACCACAAGTGTTAACAATTATAAGCAAACGATAATTTCGTTCTCAAAACACTTGTTACTCATCCATATTGTTGATATGTAACAATAAAAACATAAATATACTAATATAATGTATAATTAATGTATCTGGTGTATAAACTAACCACTTGGTCACATAATTGTGCGTGGGATGACGTTGGGGGCCATATGAGTAGCACATGTGGAAAGACAGATGTGCTGCCGACAAGTTGATGCACAAAACTACACCAATGAATTAAATGAAAATGATCATTTTGTTGAATTATGTAATTAAGATTAGAGTTAGATTAGTCACATTTGAGTTAATTAAAAAAAAAAATAATAAATAAGTAACACCTCCCCTCAAAATTTGGGATGTGGGCCTATTGTTAGAGCAGAAGCTGTTGAAGACGCTGAAGGGAAGGAGCATAAAAGATTTGACAGGAACGAGATGGGTTATCGAGCGCGTATGTTAAACTGCCGGACTTCCTTGTGTAGTGTAGGGTTGAATTATAGTGGTGTGGTGTAAGTAGTGTAGTCAAGTCACTCCGGGAGATCCCAACACCCGGACACCCCAACACTACCCGGATGGGATAGAGAGTTGAATTCAGTGGAGAGTATTGCAGCCGTACGCTCACCACAATCGACGCGTCTGTTCTCTATCGTTTACTTACTACACTTCGATGTGTGGATCTCTCGATGTATGGATCTATGAAAGTAGTGTGTGTCAGGTTGGTAGCAGTGGCTCGTCGCTCACGGCCGACTGGAGTATAATAATAGACACAAACAAACTCATTTGGCCGGATGGCCAACTACATTTGGCTTGGCCATATACCCAGTTACTCTGTTTAAATACACCGATCGTCGGCCTGTGTTTCTCAATTTATATTGCTTACTTTTCAAATAGATTTTTCTTTGATTCTTTATCGCTTTGTCACGAAATTTTTTCTTCTCATATTTTCTTTGATTATAAGGATCAAAAGAAAATTTTTATTTGTTTTTGTTTTAAGTTTACTTTTAATGGTTGAAAATTTTGGGATAAAATTTAATAGTCATATAAAATAAATAAAAAATAAACATTAGTATGATAAGACAAAACAACCAATTAGAAATAATTAAAACTAAAACTCATACAGAAGAAAAATCGATCATTTATTTCAGTTATAATTGGTGTAATAGTTAACCAAAAAATATTAAAAATGAAAAAAGAATTATTGTATTTAAGAAAATTTTAAAAGAGTACATATGTAAAAATTGTACTTCATTAAATAATGACTTGTTAAATTGCATTGTACTTTTTTAACTAATGACATTTTTGAAGATATAAGCTCATTCCGATGTTACACTCATCAAGAGCTTTTATTTGAGTACCTACATGCATTTTGATATATTTTTCATATATATATATATTTATAATATATATAAATATATAAAATATATAAAAAATTGATGTGGGTACTCTAATGAAAGGTCTCGATGAGTGTAATATCGAGATGAGCTTATATCTTTAAAAATATCAATAGTTCACAAGATACAAGGTCATTTCGTAATTATTGACATTTTTTAAGATATAAGCTCATCGCGATGTTACATTCATCAAGAGCTTTCATTTGAGTACCTACATGGATTTTTATATATTTTTCATATATACATATATGTAATATATATAAATATATGAAAAATTGATGTGGGTACTCAAATGAAAGGTCTTAATGAGTGTAACATCGGGATGAGCTTATATCGTTAAAAATGTCAATAGTTCACGAGATACAAGGTCATTTCTTATTTATGTATCTAGAGATAGAGCATTTTTAAATGTAGCTTAAATACTTATTATAAATTTACTATTGGTGAGAATGATATGAAACCTTGAAAAGGCACCAATTCAAGTCAAGACTTCCAATGATACCAAATTTAACTATAAAAATACATTTTATCATATAAATACACTCGCCACAAAATTTTGCTTATTCTCTTAATAATAATATAGATTATTAGTATATTACATACTTAGGCCAGTAAAATAAGAAAAGTCTCAGATCACATGTAATTGTTGGCCGAGGCGAAGCCGAGGTTGACAAACATGTGATCTGAGGCTTTACTTTTTACTGGCCAAGGTGTGTATACTATTTTTCTGCTCGACGTAGCCGGAATGTGGCAACTTTGTTTAGCGCAGCGGCCAGAAAGTTGCCACTTTCCGGCCGGAGGGCAGAAAAATTAATTTTTATGAACAAATCAAGTTGAAAAAAAAATTAAATTTGTAAAAAATATATTTTATATATGAATTAAGTTTAAATTTTTTTCATAAAAATAACATTATTTTTCGAGTAAATTGTAAAAATTATCACGAAGATCATCAAGATAATTTTTGTATATACTAATTGGTATTACTCATGAAATTTATAATCTTAAAAATTAAATTTTCTGAAGAAATAATTACCAAAATTAATTAATATAATCACTGGAATCTTAAATTAATATTTTGATGAAGTAAAATACTCTATGCCTTAATTATTTCACTAAAATAATTTGACCTAGAACGCTTAATTGTGCACCGAAAAGTAAACTTCACATAGTTTAGTCTTCATAATAATAATAAACGGAATTAAAAATTCTCCCATGACCTCGATCCCTATCAAACATTTCGTCCTTCACAACAAATCTAGTTTTATACCCAATTAGTCTAGCAAATTGAGTCGCAAAAATTATTAGTTTTGATCTCACGGGTATTTATAATTTGGTCTCTACTACGGTTTTCGGTAAATTGAAAGTGACACGAAATCCTCGGGAGTAAAACTGGGAGCTGAAGTAGCAGCTACGACAACAATAATAACAATAATCAGAAGACACTTTGATACACATGTATCACCGACAGTTAAATCTTGAACCACGATCGACGGCCGGCCGTCAACCATGCCGTCATAGCAGTAGAACGTTAAACGCAAACGTCTAGTCGGGTTGGAAACTTTGAGGGCTCAGGTACGAGCTTTTAGACACAACTTTCCCTGGTGGTTGTCACAAACGGTTCGGTTCTTACTGGAGAAACCGCACACACCAGAACCGGCTCTGCTTTATATTCACTAATGTCATTGTCGCTACTTACGTCACAAAGCTCAACTACTGAATTTGTAATTCCCAATTATTGCATTAGCATTATTAGCAAACAAAACCTCAGTCAATTAAACACGGAAAAAAGTAAACTGTAAAGCAAACAGTAAAACCGTGATTTTAACAATCACTTTATAATATTTATCATTTATAATGCTACAATTTATTATTTACATGGAAGAAAATACTATTTCAAACAGTAATATTCGCTATGTGAATGTCGAAAATGTTATAATAATTAAGAATTTTGACCTTGATATTTATCATTTCGTACCTAAAAAATGATTGCATGATATGTAAAAAATATAAACTACAGTTACTAAATTTTGTATACAAGCAACGTCAATATTTACAAAGTAAAGCGGTAAATTTTAAACGCAACGCTAAAAATCAAACTATAATTATTGATTTGCTTGGACTGGTAAAATATATATTTTAAGAGTAGAATTTTTACTGTGTCAAATGTTAAATTTTCCGACTCATAGTACACGGAAAAAAATAAATAGTAAATGCAACATGATGCAGTCTTGGTAAATGAACATGATAAAATCATGTTGCAGCCACATGATTTGTCATGTTTCGGCTACATGACAATCATGTTGCGGTATCATTAGAAAATTGTGTGGCAGCAACATGATTTGTCATGTTTCGGTTACATGACAATCATGTTGCGGTAGTATGAGAAAAATTGTGGCAGCAACATTCATTGCCAATAGCTTTGGTTTGTATATAATTTGAATAAACAAAGATATCGCTCACAACTTGTATAATTCGATAATTTACTCTTATTTTCATCTGCAATATTATATACCCCAAAAAACCTAGTTACTTTTTATAATAAATAATGTTTCCGGAGCATAAATATTTCGTTGTTGCAGCATAATTTTATGCTATTACGGCTACATGAAAATCATGTTGCTGCCACATGATTTTCTCATATTGCAGCCACATGATTTGTCATGTTTCGACTACATGATTTTCTCATGCTACCGCAACATGATTTTCATGTAGCCAAAACATGACAAATCATGTGGCTGCAACATCATTTCATCATGTTCATTTACCAAGACTTCATCATGTTGCATTTACTATTTATTTTTTTCCATGATTAGACTATACATTGAAACGGCAATTTCCCCTTGTTTGAAACTGTAATTTTTTAAGATGAGAGAGTCGTTATTTACTATAGTGACAGCTACTAATCACATTTTCGATATTAATTTATAAATTGTAGCTCATATATACACTTTCTACATTAATTTTTGTAATATTAACATTGTGCCACCCGATGTCCGCTGTACTGTTTGAAACTAAAAAATTAACCGAGAAACGAGTGAATTTCACAGTTTACTTTTTTCCGTGTAACTCCAAAGCTCGAAAATTTGCCAACGCTTGCTGATAAAAAACGAAAGTACGAAAATTAATTAACATGCAGGGAGATTTATTTCTCTGATTTAAAATAACGCGAGTCACAATCTCGTCCTTGGGACTATCTGAGTCCTTGGGCATGCATCAACAGGTGAATCAGTTGACTTGGAAATACAAGGCCGCGGTGAATTATAGGGCGAGCTTTACTGCGACCAATGTCTGGTTATTAATGGTAGAATAAATGTGTAAATATACATAGATATGTAACTAGTAGCGACAGTTCTATTAGTAGCTTATATTAATACCAAAAACATCTTGTATATTAATTATAAATAAGGTCGCAGTGCATTTTAATCACGGCGATACGTTATCTGACTAATCACCCGCAAAAGCGCCTCCAGATCTGTTTATTCGCGAAGGGAAAATTACAAGTACCGATACGAAGAAGTAAATAAATCAAGCGATTCAAATTATTAACCACTGGCTCGTATTTTTACTGAGAGATGGAGCCTGCAGTCCGATCAATATGCTAGCAGCCTTCTAACATTCTGATTTCTTTGCTTGCATCTACTCTTCTTTACATACTTTTACATTTTTTTTTCTTCACATCATTTTTTGGGAAATAAAATTATTCAAGTTCAATTTTTAGTTATGATTTTTATCTTTTCATTTTTTGAATAAAAATTATTTCCTTTTTTTTAAAGAAAAATTTTAATAAATTAGGTCAAAAAATTAAAATTCTTTCTTTCATTATTAATTTTTTTAATAAAATTTTCTTTTGATTATCATTGCATGAAATTTTTCATGAGGCTTCCTTTAATTGACATAAAGCAAAGTTTTGTTTAAAAAAAATTAATTGACCTAGAATTTATAAGAAATTAAATAAATAAGGAGTATATTAATAGATTATTTATTTATTTATTTATGCTAAAGCCTGATGGCCAAATTGCAAGCAAAAATAAAAATACATTTAATTACAAAATTCAAAAATAATAACAAAATTTTACAGTTATTAAAGTACCTGATTGCAATTATATAAACTAATTATGATTATAATTTCTCTTAAAATCTCATTGACATTTTGAAACTTTACTTATGCATTTAGATTGAACAAATATTTAACCCGAAATTTCAATAAAAATTTTTTTGGGTCATTTTTTTAAATTTCTGGCTAAAATATAACATACGGTAAAATTAACAAGAATCTTTTTTGTAGAATATAAAATTTTCTATAAAAAAAAGTCCTTGATAATTTTGTTATATCTTCAATATTTAACCCAAAATTTTAATTTTGAAGAATCATAAAAAAATCTTAGTTGTAATTTTGATAAAAATTTTTCTTGACCGTTTTTTTAAATTTCTGGCTAAAAGATAAGAGATACGGTAAAATTGATAAGGATCTTTTTTTGTAGAGTAAAATTTTCTATAAAAAAAGGTCTTGAATGATTTTTTTTGTTTTTTTTTTTTAATATTTAACTCAGAATTTTTAAAATAAATTTTAACTGAAAATCGAAAGAAAAAATAGGTCAGAAAATTTCTAAAGAAGTTGCTTATACTTTAAATAAAAAGTATGTCACTTATGTAATTTATCTCTTATTACTCTTCCGAGTCACTGTTTTTAAATCAACTTTTGATGTTAAAGTTAAAACTCATCCAAGAAATGACTTGGATCTTTCGAAACTAAGGAAAAAAATAAAAATAAAATGATAATAAGAAACTTTATGCAAAGTTTGAATAATTAGATAGAATAACATGAAATTAAATTATTAAAAGTTATGGCGGTGTGTATATTAAATGTTGATACGCTTAAGTCGATTGTACAACAGGACTAAGAGTAAGAGGAGAATAACAATAACAATAACAATAATAACCAGCCGAGTCTCAAAAGTCGACTAAGTCTTGTAGGCGATTCAGAGAAAATCCTGCAACGCGGTTCTACATCCCGACCAATCGATGTATTCGCGCGTGCGTCCACAAAATCCATTCTCGCCTCCTATCCAACTACAAACTCTTATTTTCTCCAGCCAGTCTATTCCCTATTTTTATATTTTCTTCTCTATTTTCATACAATTTTTGTCGAGTGATTCTCACTCTTACAAATCCGAAATACACGCTGTGCCAAAAGATTCCCCTTTTCTATAACCGCCCAAATAAATAACGCCTTCGCGCTCGAGAGCTTTTTTAAATCTTAGAGAAACTTTTAAGTTTTTTTTTTCTGAGCCTCTGATTAACTCAGATTATTCATTTTTATTTTTTTTTCTTGAATTTTTTATTTTTATTTTATTTTATTTTATTTTATTTTATTTAAATAAACAAACCCAACAGCCTAGGGGCCATTAACAGGGTTAATAATACAACAGTTAGTATATAAAAACAAGAAAAATTTTTTATTTATAACAAGATGACTTATAGCTAGCATAGTGATTTCATATTTAATACAATAATAATATTAGTATTAGGCGCGCAGTAGCCTATCGGATCCGGCCCTTGCTATCAAAGCATTGGACCGGGTTCGAATCCGGCGTACACCAATCAATATTTTCAATATTTAAGTGTATTATTCTGCTCAGCCCAAGAAATACAAACGAGTTCCAATCTTAAAAGTTTACCCCCTACCGTAGTCGCTCATGACCTTAGTAGTTTATGCGACTTTAAACAAATCAAAAAAAAAAAAAAAAAACTAATTAGTATTACTATTAATTAAAAAATTAAATAAAAAAAAAAAGTTACATTATTATAAATATTCTACTGACTGTGGTGTTAATTTTCAGGTGCATGCTTCGGGGGTGTTTGAGCTGAGACTCAAGTCCTTCATCAACGAGTACGGGAAAGACAACACGGGGAAATGCTGCTCGGGAATGACTTCCAAGACCAGCAATGAGTGCATTGGAACCTGTCAGACCAGGTTCAGGATTTGTTTGAAGCAGTACCAGGCGAAGATCGACACCACGACCCCCTGTACTTACGGGGACGAGGTGACACCCATTCTCGGGGGCAATGTTGTTAATCTCAGCCCTGATGTCTCTACTCCCAGAGGCTTCACCAACCCCATTAGATTTTTCTTCAATTTTTCCTGGCCGGTAAGTTATAATTATTATTTTTTACTATTATTATTTAAAGTATGAGGTGTACTTACAACAAAAAAACCGGCTTCTAACATGAAAATTAAGTTAGCCGACATTTAAAAATTTAATCTTAAAAGTTTACCCCCTACCGTAGTCGCTCATGACCTTAGTAGTTTATGACTTTAAACAAATCAAAAAAAAAAAAAAAAAATATTAGTATTACTATTAATTAAAAAATTAAATAAAAAAAAAATTACATTAATTATAAATATTCTATATTATCAATATTAATTATAAATATTAATATTAATTATAAATTTAATAGATAGATTGTTAAATGAGTAAACCATTGATGTGTTAGCAATTGCAAACCATAACAAAAAATAATATTAATTGCTAAAATTAAAAAGAAAAAAAAAATTATCGATTTATTTATGAAATTAGTTTTGACTATTTGTTTTTTTTTTTTTATATACTTCAAGCAGAATTTAGATTTTTAAGGGTCTTAAGTCATAAATTTTTTAAGCTTATGGGATTTGAGAGATTTCAGTATTGGGTTCAGAGAAAATTGGCTATAAAATAAATATATGGAGGTATATTTTTAAATGCTTACATTTAAGCTAAAATTTTATTTCTCGGAAAAAAATATTTTTTTTCGAGAATTATGGAGTGAGAAATAATTGAAAATTATTTGATCGTTCTTGAAATAAATTATACAATTTTTTGACAGAAAAAAAATAAATGTATATTTTTAGAAATGAAAATTAAAAATTTTCCTGGCTAGGAATCGAACTCAATTCTTTGTGGTGTAAATTATTTAGAACTAGCTGTTACTCGCTCGCTCCGCTGGGCGTTTTATAGAATTATATTTTTAGATCGAGACTTGAAATTTAATTAAAGTATTGTTTTGACTTGCACAAATTCCCAATTCTATCGAAAAGGTCCAATAACAGGGCTACTCAATTTATACAATTTCTAAGTCAAAATAATATAGATTTCGGATAAGTAATCACCACCATATCATATACTTAAACCTTCTCTGAAACACGCTGCATCTTATGGTATAAGTAATATTCCGATTGGTTCAGTAGTTTTCGCAGTATAACCGGACAAAAAAAACCGGCTCTCCATTTATTAGTATAGATTTATTGCCTATATTTGAACCCAATAGCCCAAAGGTCCAATAACAGGGCTATTCAATTTATACAAAATTGAAAATTATGACAGTCAGAATACTTAAGTAAAATGTAACCATTAGATTTACCTGATGAAGCTATAATCAGCGAAACGTTGCAATTCTTATAATTTAACATCTTCATTTATTGTCCGAATTTCCAAGATTTTTATTTAAGTAAAATATGTTTCTATACACAGAAAAATAAATGTTCTTTAATCAACGGCTGTCCAATTTTAAAACACAGTTACTGAAAAATTTTTATACTTGATTTTTTTCAGTATTGCTGCATTTCTTATAACTTTTAGACCTTAATTTCAAGTAACTTTTCTTAAAAATATTTATATTCAAGTATTTTCTATTCATAAATCAAATTTTTTATCAATTTGGCGCGCAAACTTTTTTTTAACAAGAAAAATTTTTAAAAATCTTAAAATTGTCAGTTATAGGGAAGAAGTACCGTTTGTGGCCATTTAGTGTTCAAATAAACGATAGAAATGAATTTATATTAATAAACCATTACAAACTCAATTTGTTTCAATATACATTTTTTAAAACTCAACAAAAATATAGTTATAAGTTATAATATTGTAATTTTATATAAATTAATTGATATGTTAACTCGCCAAAAACGGTGCTAAGGTGGCAAAAAATGGTACTTCTACCCTACTGTGTTTTAAAATTGGGCATTATATACTTGACAAGTATATAATTCTAAAAAACTTAATCTTTTTAGTTTGAGTAGAAAAATTCTTGAACTAATAAATTTTTCTTGATTTAAAGAAACTTTACTTGATTCAAGAATTTTTCGTCTTGATTCAAGACAATTATCCTCTTCAAAATTATTTTCTGGGTTCAAAAATTTTTCTCTCGAATCAAATTAATTTTTTTTTCAGTGTATAAACCAAACTTTCTACATTTAACTTAATTAAGTACTATAAATTAACAAAGCAGCTTAATAACTAAAGAAAAAAAAAGAGATCAATTAAGTGCTGTGTGTGTAGAGTTGATGTTAAAAAATAAATCTTAAAACACGTTTTGAAATTTTATTATTATTATTTTTCGGGATAAAAACACGAATTAAAAAATATATTTCACAAAATTTTCTGACGAAAAATTAATTGATTGTCAAAATAAATTAAGAATTTTTATTTTTCACCCAGCTCTATTCTTTTTACTGATACAAATTTTCAAATTAAGAAACACAATATATCATTTTCTTAAACTAGGGTAAAACTAAAAAAAAGTCCATAAAATTTTCTGAGTACAGATCTTATAATATCTCCGATATGAAATTCGTAAATAGAGTTGTCAATATTTCATGAAAACTCAATCAATCTTTCTCAAAGAGAAGTGCCATTCGTTCCACTTCACATTTGTTGGCCTTTCTCCAAAAATCCATATCTAAACATATTGTAGCATTATAAATGTTCTTAGAACTAGAAGTTGTAAATTATAAAATCTAAGAGAATTTTACTTAAATGTGAAAATCCAAGCATATAATTTTATTTATCACTCAAGATTTCCGTCGTTAAGATTTGATCGTAGACCCTCTAATGTTATTTCCTAATAAAAGTTTCTTGACGAGATTACTTAGATATCTTCTCAATACGTCGCTAAATAATTAAATTGAATATATACTTCTTAAAAAAAATAATAAAATAACTAATCAATTTTTTTTACTTGTTTGTTCTAGGTAAGTCATTTGGATTATTTCATCTTTTATTACAAAGACCGACTACACGGTAAGAATAATAGTTTCAATAATTGCGAGTAAGCCATTAATTTTGGAATTTTTTTAGCAAATAAAAAAGATTTTTTTAAAGAAACAAAGCATATAAATTTATTGTTAAGCACAGAGATAAATATATGAAATATATATGAGTAAATAAAACCGTGAGTTATAATGGACTTGGCGGAGAAAACAGGAGATAAAAAATATTGAATGGATTAATATATTGAAGAGAAATGTCAGAGCATACAAATAGCTTTGTTTAAAAATAAAAGCTGTGAAAAAACGAGTAAAAAAGCGACAATACGAGTAAGGTACTGCAAACATTCTGCAGTTGGTTGCTCATCGTCACGTCCCTGTTCCCCCGCTCGTTACCTCTGTCCTTTGAAACTTTTCCACATTTTGTTCGGTTGGATTTTTTAATTCAATTTTAAAGAGAGAGTGAGTAAGTAACTAAGAGTACGAGATTACGATAAATGCAAAACGAAGTGGGCACAAAGAACATCTCGGATTTCTTGTTATACCTTTCTTCGCCTCCATCGGATCTAAGATGCCGAATACTCGCTATTTTTATCCCCAACGATCTATTCTCTATTTTAATTTACTTACTGTATGTACTCGTATCGTGCCACTGGGTACTTGAATACTTTCCGATAATGTATATGCATATGTGCTGTTTTTTACGTGAGCGAAATTTGTATGACTAGAACAGCCACGTATTATACACAGAAAAAAAGGTAGAGCCAAGAAAATATTTTTCTTCTTAATTATTTTCTTGAGGGAAAAAAAATTTTTTTTTGACAATAAATTTCACTTATTCCAATAAAATTAATTTTCTTCAAGAAATACGTATTTTGATCCAAGAAAATTTATTTAAGTCAAGAAAATCTTGTTTTGAGAAAATCCAGCCTCGGGCTCCAAAAAAATTAGTTCTTGATAGAAGTAAATTTTCTTCCTTGAGAAAATTTCTCTCTTGCTCCAAAAAATTAAATATAAAGATAGAAGTAAATTTTTATTGATTAACATGTCAAATGGGAAGATCAAATAATATTAAATCATTTTTTTTCATTAAATATGTAAATTGCACGCTAAAATAATATAAAATGGGTATCAAATATTCAAGAGAAAAATTTTCTCAAGGTGAGAAAATTTTTTTCTCAGCTGAAGTAGGTGGCGCTGCTTCCCTAAAGTATCTAAAAATCTTGATCGAATATAAAAATTTATTGTATCAAGTATTTATTATAATTTGAATTAAGAAAAATTACTTCCACCAAGAATAGAATTTCAAGAAAAATTTTTACTTCGGTCAACACAATTTTGGTCTTCCTTCAGGCACCCGAAAATTTTCTTTAGCCAAGAATTTTGTTCTTCAGTCAATTTCTTTTTTCAGTGTACTTCTCATTTTTGTATTTTCATTATACTTCATCCTTTTTACCTCATTTCATTTTGTCTATCACTCCTTTTATTTATTTTCATGTTCCAAGCATCGAAAACGCTCCATTTATGCTACGCTAAAGTTATCATGCACACAACAGTTTGTAAAGAAATTCCAATATTACTACACTTTATTTTTCTCGCTCTCAATACTGTACCGAGTTTTCATTAAATGGATTAAATTTCTTTCATTTGTTCGAGTGTTGAACTTCAATTAAAACTATTTTTTTTTTATTATTATTATTTTACCTGATTGTGAGTTTTAGAAAAATTTATTTCTATTTTTTTTATTATTCCTCTTGGCTATTTTTTATTTTTTTCCAATTTTCCCACATTGATTTTATTTTTCAATTTAAAAATTTTTGGAATTATAAATTTATTATTTTTTTTAATTAATAATTTTTTTCTCCGATATCTCTATAGCGTTTGATTAATTAAAAATGTTAAACAAGAAAAAATTTTTTTTATAAAAAAAATTCATTTATAAAAATTTGTAAAGAATAATCAAATTAATTTTTTAAAAATTAATCTTTCAACCAACCAAAAATAATTAATAAAAATAATAATAATAAAATTAATGAAAATAATAATAATAAAAAATTTTTTTTTCAATTTAAAAATAAAAATTACTGATTACAAATAATAAATAAATAGTTAAAATAATACTAAAATAGCTAATCGGTATTAAAAGTTTAATTACTTAAAACAACATGACAAACATGTGTAATAAAAATAACAAATTGAATACCCGTAGGACAAATATTTGTTAAAGATTAATGCAGAAGTAAATTACACTGAGATAATAACACAAATAAAAAAAAAAAAAAAAAAAAGTAAAATGCGGGTGAAATAGTAAGACGTTAAATGAATTACAGTGACGACCTCGAACGTGACTCTGTTTCGTTATCAACTTATCATTAACTGTCGTAATTCTTTCAATAACATAATTCGTGCTAAATGTTTCAAGTATACACCGATTTAAATATAAACATAAATA